TGCCACGCTAAAGTTTAACATGCAACTATTTCATTTTCTTTGTTTAATTGTACTGAAAGAAGCATTTATTTTAGCCTCGAACTCAAGGATGCGACACATCTGGTGTGCCACATCACGCTTTATCTCATCTGGTGTAGCTTCCAGCCTCTGCCAACTCTCACGTGTTCGCTCTCATGCCACACGTTCATTTTATTACGGAGCGAAAAACATCGCAGAGCAAAGAGGACACAGACAATGTGCTGACAGAGCAGTTTACTTTTGATAATTGGAAACTACGTCTCAGCGTTCAAATTCTGTTAGTTTTATTAAGAATTTCAAAATGTAAATAGTGCCATTGTGGAGATCTTTAGTGGCGTGATGGTTCACATGCGCTCCCGCTTTGCCTCAGTCTCACATGTGCGCTCTCATGCCACACGTTCATTTTATTACGGAGCGAAAACATCGCAGAGCAAAGAGGACACAGACAATGTGCTGACAGAGCAGTTTACTTTTGATAATTGGAAACTACGTCTCAGCGTTCAAATTCTGTTAGTTTTATTAAGAATTTCAAAATGTAAATAGTGCCATTGTGGAGATCTTTAGTGGCGTGATGGTTCACATGCGCTCCCGCTTTGCCTCAGTTCAAGCGAAGCAGGAGTGCATTCTAATTAGCATGAAATAAACATGAATGAACATCTGAGGGCATGTTGAAAGAATCACTACAACTTACTGAATGTATAGTGTCTCATGTAATCACTCAAGGCATGAAAAAAGGCAGCCCTGTTTGAAGTAAGTTGAAGTTTTAGGTTTCCTGAACAACATTTACAAAATTCACTGTAGGCTATAAGATAATGTTAGATCTTTTGCTACAACCTCTGGTTAATCATGATATATATAAGAGAAATAAGTTCCAATAGACTAACATTTGAAGTTACTGAAGGACTGTATAGCTAATGTGGGGTAATATGAAGTAATCAGCAATCGTAGGATTTATTCATGTTTTTTTTGTAATGCCAGGTTGGAGTTAGCCTATACACTGATTTTCTGTAATGGTCTATGGACCTCCTGAATTAGCATTGGTCACCTACTGTATAAAACTCTAGCTTCGCCACTGGTCACAATACAGAACAATGGATCTATCGCTACTACTTTTTCATTGCAACTTCAACAATGAATGTGCTGCAATGCAATTGATCAGTCTGAAGCTCCGCCCCCTTAGTTATTGTTGCTAACTGAGACAAGCTTTAGTGAAAATCCCATTGAACTGAACTGACAATTGCCATGTACAGCGTGATTTTCATTCAAATGTGCTCATTAAAAATTAGTGTTCATTAAAAAAACATGAACAGAACTGTTCTTAATGCTTCTACAATGCATTCACTATGATACTGTGATCTCTTTTGTTTCTATTGGCATAATATTAAGTTAGAACCTTTAATTTACCAAAATGTGAGTTTTCTGTTGATGTTATACAGGTATATTTGAAAAATGAGGGATGACAGATGGTTTAACAACAGCATACATTTCTCAAAATATATTTAAAGATTTGTTACAAATAAATAAATGAATTTATAAATGAACAAATAAAAAAATAAAAAATTTATCTTCCCTATTTTCTAGATACCCAGTTTCACTATATAAGTAACCTGACAACAACATTTTGCAGTAGTTTCATAAAATTGCATTTTAAACTGCAGAGCCTCCATAGACACATAGCCTCCATTACACCATATCTAAGGTGGATGGCAACAGTTGCTAAGGTACAACTGGTCAGTAACATTTTAGGCAGGGCTTTGTAAAGGGCAATTATCTGTGCATATTAGGTTTTGCTGCTGGGTTTTACAGGCAAACATCAAAGGGAGAAGGCTGTATCATTCTGCACTTGTGTTTGCATATTGATTTTTCATTTTATGCCAAAAGTATCCAAAATCTGAGATATGTGTTTTATTTTAAAAGTGTCCATCCAGTTCTAATACCACATTTGATTCAAATGCCTATGACTCAAGCATTCACCACATTTTTTTCCTGAATGAGCAATCACAACTCATTTGTGCTCATTCCTTTAATACATAATTTGTACTTCCCTCCTTCTGTGTAGCAACTTTATATTGCACATTCTTAAGTCAATTACTGCAGAATGTAAGTCAGCCTCGGAGGAAACGCATACAGCATTTTCTGCTAGTTTCTCCTCTTCTTTCAGCTGGAGTTCCAACGAGTGAACAGTCAAAAAAGCTTGTCTGTCTGCTCTCCCACTGATCCTAGAACAGCCGGCAGGGTCCCTGCTTGTATTGATTTCCTGTAAAGCAGCATTTGAGCCTCTGGTTCTCAGAGACACGAGGAGTCGACGTGTCCTCTGTGCTTCTGTCCAAGCTCTGATGGGGTTCAGCCTCCAAGGAGCACAACAGCACAGAGGATTCAAACCTAATTATTATTGCATTGCACCAGGGACCTATTGCAGTCATGTGCTGAGAGCAATCACAAACCAGGTTAGATTACAGACCTCAAGACATATTTGCGAAGGAGGATCTATGGATGAAAAAGCCATCTTGCCTGATCAAATATGCCAAGTATAATTTACTAATATTTAGCTTATTTGTCTACTTAAATCCATCTATGAGTCCCTAATTGAATGTTTACAGAGAATTAAGAGGATCCGTCTCAGTTCTAACCAATACTGAATGCCAATGAAGGATGCATACTAATAAGCAAGCCCGTATGGAGCCCGTTTTTATTTTGCATTTCATTTCATTTATTTTTATTTTTTCTGCTCTGACTGGGGGGAAAATTTGTGGAATGCATTTAAATATGGTGAAATATGTTAAATGGAGCTGAGAACTACACTCTAATTGGTAGCTGAAACATAATTGATTCAGCCAAAAACATTTAATAAATCAACACATGAGGGAATGACAGACGTTCTAATTCTGTGGAAATCTATGGAGCTTTCTGAAGAATTCTGTGGGCGCAGATTCAGTGTGGATCTGCTAATAAGGCCATGCGTTTATTCTAGGACACAGACATGACATAGGTGTAATATATTTTTTTAGGTCACAGGAGATAACTTTTTTGAATAAACTGTAATATATTTTTTAAATAATTATGTAAAAAAAAAAACGATTATGCTTATACCAGGTTGGATTTATTTGATCAAAAATACAGTAAAAATAACAGTAATATGAAATATTATTACAATTTAAAATAATTGTTTTCTATATGTACAGTATTTTATTTTCTGCTCAAATAGTATCAATTATTATTGGTGCTCATTTATTAATACTGGTTATTATTATTTTTATCGATGTTGAAAACGGTTGATCTGCTTAATATTTTTGTGGAAACGGTAATACTTTTTTTCAGGATTCTTTGATGAATAGAAAGTTAAAAAAAAACAGCATTTATTTGAAATAGTAATCTTTTGTAACATTTGAAATGTCTTTACTGTCACTTTTGATCAATTTAATGCATCCTTGCTGAATAAAAGTATTTATTTATGTATGCATGCATGTATGTATGTATGTTCTTATTTTCTTATTTATTTCCCCCAAACCTTTGAATGGTAGTGTATCACAGTTTCCACAAAAATAGCAGCAAAAACTGTTTTCAGCATTAATAATATTAAGAAATGTTTATTGAGCTCCAAATCAGCATATTAGAATGGTTTCTGAAAGATCATGTGAAACTGAAGTAATGGCTGCTGAAAATTCAGCGTTGCATCACAGAAATAAATAATATTTTTAAATGTATTTTAAAAAACTATTTTCAATTGAATGAATGAAATAATATTTCACAATATAACTTTTTCTGTTGTTTTGATCAAATAAATGCAGCCTCCGTGAGCATAAGAGAGGTCTTTCAAAAACATAAATAAATCTTAATTATTTCAAAATGATGACTGGTAGTTTATCAAATCAACAAATGAAAGATATTTGGTGGCAATGTAAAACTGACACAAATGGGCAAGTGACAATTCCACAACTGCCCCAAAATGCTTTCACACTGACTCTAAGCCAGCAGACATCCTTATTGTTGAGCCCTGGAAATATTCTGTCATATCTACTTTTGTACAAGCCATAAATAAATGGTTTTCACTGGCAAAGTTGTCTGATAACAGGTTTGCACTGACAAAACACCTGCAGAATTGACCACATTTTGGTATATGCCTAAATAGGCTGAGTGAACAGAATACATTTTTATCTGTTAAACAGTAATTGAGTCATTTGTGTTAGCTGATATATCACAGAACAGAAGACCCCTGATTGTTGAACACTGCATCACTGAACAAAGCAATGGCCTTGGTTGTAAAATTGTGTCTGGGCTGGTTTAGTGAGACAGACAATTTCTTTCATCCCCTGTAGCGAGCAGTTAAAGATCAGGCAAGGCTGCCCAATCATTGCTCCAGATTGCCTATCAATTTTACTCAGTGTTAACTTTCTGTGTGGAGATGTGGGGTTATTTTTATCAGTAGGCTGTAGTTAAAGACATACAGGGCCTGAAAGGATTGTATTTAGCTTGATTTTGCCAAATGTGCTCAAACCTTAATGAAGCACTGGTTTACTCCTCCACCTCGTGCATTACATTTCGACCAATTAACTAGCTGTTTCCATCCACCTATTTTTATGCGCATTTTGGATTATCTCATAAAAAAACGCTGGATGGAAACGCCAAGTTGTGCATAAATTCTAAAAATGCGCATAAAAAACGTATGCGCACAACTGAGTAGGATAAACTTTTTATCCGTTAAGAAAAAATGCGCATAAACTACGATGGAAACACATTTACCGAATAAATTCCACCATGTGAAAATAAAACCATTTATGATACTTGCTTAACATTTTTACTAGCATGACCTCATTTTGCATTGCTGTGCCGTTCAGCACAAGCGCTTCTGTCGGAACCCATTTCTCATTACAAAATTTGTTCCCCTGTAGACAAGACGTTTGTATATATTTTATGTGGTCGAGATGCTTGGATGGTGTTTGAGGAAAAGTTAAAGTGACATCTGATTGCAGTCTGTAAAGTACCTGTTAAACAGTGAATATTTTTGAGGCAGTAGTAGGTGTACTGAAGCACTCTTGCAAGATCGTGATGAATATTTCTGAAAAACAGGAGAGAAAACCAGAATCCATTACTAATGCATCTACTATGTGCTATACAAAGATAATTTCTCACACCAGTCATACAGCAAACTCAGAGATATCTGAAACGTTCTCTCCTAGTTAGTCTAACAGCGGAAGGTCGCCACCTTCGCTTATTTTCACGCAGACATAAAACTGGCAAGGAGGAGAACTGCTTAAAGCAAAAACTGCATGTATCTAATGATTCTTTTACAACCAGGGCCGGATTTACGCATAGGCATTCTAGGCACGTGCCTATGCTTGCTCGTCCGGGGGGGCCCATACACAATAAAGATATA